CCAAGGTTTAGTGTTGGGACCCTTACTTTTTTAAAATATTTTAAACAATATGGGTCTCAGATTATAAATCCCATTTTAATCTTTGCATTACCACCAAGCTGTGCCGTGAATAATTCCTTTCAAGATGTTTCAATTATAACCCCCCAATGCTCTTATAAATTGGGGGGAACATGTGCAAATGGGTTTAAAGTTGATAAATGTAAGATTCTCACTTGGGGGCTAAGAATATCATCATCATAACACTAGGGGGGTACAAAAAAGGGGGGTCAATGAGGGGGGGAAAGGGTCTGGGGTTCTGGGAATCACAAGGGTTAAAAAATGACAGCAATCCAAGCGCAGGTTTTAAAGTTTGCAAAACCTTTCCTTTTATTGGAGAGGGATAGACTCCCAAGAGAGAGGGGGAACACCCCCCCCCCCCCGGTACAAAATCATTATAAAAACCCTTTTCTGGAATATGCAGTAAATTTTGGGGGGCCAATCACGGAAAACATTTGGGGGAATTCTTCCAAGTATAATACATAAAGGGGGGATATAGAAATCCCCAAGAGATAATAGCATACAGGGGGGCATATGATCTCCATCGCTAATAATGACATAAGTGGGGGATATGATCGTCCATGTAATAATACATAAGGGGGATATGATCTCCATGTTAATACAATAAGGGGGGATATGATCTCCATGTATAATACATAAGGGGGATATGATCTCCATGTATAATACATAAGGGGGATATGATCTCCATGTATAAATACATAAGGGGGGATATGATCTCCATTTATAATACATAAGGGGGATATGATCTCCATGTATAATACATAAGGGGGGATATGATCTCCATGTATAATACATAAGGGGGGGATATGATCTCCATGTATAATACATAAGGGGGGGTATATGATCTCCATGTATAATACATAAGGCGGGATATGATCTCCATGTATAATACATAAGGGGGGATATGATCCTCCATGTATAATTACATAAGGGGGGGATATGATCACCATGTATAATACATAAGGGGGGATATGATGTTAATACATCAAGGGGGATATGATCTATGTAAAATACATAAGGGGGGAAATATGATCTCCATGTATAATACATAAGGGATGGGTATGATCTCCTGGATATGATCTCCATGTAATATAAATACATAAGGGGGGATATGATCTCCATGTATAATAACATAAGGGGGGATATGATACTCCATGTATAATAACATAAGGGGGGATATGATCTGCAGCACAGAGAAGGAAGATTATCCGAGAGAAATCCAGGAATACAGGACGGGGAACACAGCTCAGGAAAGTGACCAGGGGATTACAGGCTGATATCACCCAGTCCCCGCCCTACTCTGGACCAATCAGTGAGCAGTATGGGTGGAGGAATGGGATTTAGTGTTCATGACCCACCTGTGCTGATCTCTGTAGGAGTGTCCTCCTCTATAAATGTCCCCGTTATTCCATCCTCCTCCATAGACTGCTGATCATCCCTCACATACGCCTCTTCTTCTTCTGCTTTCACCTCAAATTCTATATCGATTGGATCTCCACTCTAAATCAAGGAAATGAGAGAGAATATCATCTGTAAAATTAAGGTCACATACACTTCCACATATCATCATCTCCACAAGTCCATGTTCTAGATGCTCCATCCCACCAACCTTGCAACATGGGGAGGGATGATGTGATCTTCCTGTGTGGAATCCCGGGAATACAGAGGACGGGGACATCTCTCTGGGGGTTCCCATGACTGGATCCATCTGTAGGAAAACACACACACTGACTGAATCCATGTGTTTCTATGTGTTTATCAGATGATGGGGGATCTAGGTGGATCCTCCGTACTGCTCTCTCCTTTACAATAAAGTCTCCTCTTACCCGGGTGATGTGAGGGGCGGCTGATTGTCCATCATGACGTCCTTGTAGAGAGATCCTTGTGTCCTTCTAAATACTCCCACTCCTCCATGGAGAAATAGACAGTGACACCCTGACACCTTATAGGAACCTGACACACACAATGATACAGTCACCATCCAGACACATCCCTTGTCTGTTACTGGAGAATGTCCCAGAATTCCCGGCACCGCTCACCTCTCCTGTCAGCAGCTCCATCATCTTCTTGGTGACTTCTAGAATCTTCTGTGTCTTCTGTCTTGTAGGGATCAGGGATGGAGGTGGGGGGATGGTGATGGGATTCTGGATTCTCGAGGATCTTGTGGTCATACGATGAGATCTCCTTCTGGTGTCATTGTCGGTAGATTTCTTCATGACTCCTGTACAGTTCTGTGTGATACAAAGATAAATCTCACTCTCCCATAATCCCTCACTTCTATGGTCAGCTCTAGATTTATTCTCCAGGGATTGGCCACAATGTGCCGACTCAGCAAAGGACAGACATCTCCATCCAATGATATGATGACAATGGGGTCAGATTTATAGCTCTCCTTCTAGAAGTCATATAATAGAGTCACTAATGGTTTACTAGTAAGGCTCACTGACCCACCAGGAAATGTCACCCATGGATTTAGTGGTCAGTGGGCGTGGCATGCTGGTAATCATGGGTCTCTCTGATTGGACTAAAGCTGAGATTGTTCTCTTCTATAACCAATGCCGCCATCTTGTGCTATAACCAAATCTCATAGAGTCCGGACACTTTATGTATTCATAGTACTTGTGTGGATGTCGTTATTGATTACAGAACATCAGAAGACTTCAAGTGACTCTGAATCCCTCCCAGTGTACAGCCGAGTCAGATTTAACCCCTTCATTACACTCACCTCTCCAGTCAGCAGGCTGAGGATCTCCAGGGTGAGCTTCAATATCGTCTCATTCCGGGGAAATTCCTTCCTTACAATCTTCACAAAACCCAAAGTCTGCTGATTGTCCATCATGACGTCCTTGTAGAGGTCCTTGTGTCCTTCTAAATACTCCCACTCCTCCATGGAGAAATAGACAGTGACACCCTGACACCTTATAGGAACCTGACACACACAATGATACAGTCACCATCCAGACACACCCCTTGTCTGTTACTGGAGAATGTCCCAGAATTCCCCGGCACCGCTCACCTCTCCTGTCAGTCAGCTGATGGACCATCATGGTGGTCAGTTCCAGAATCTTATGCTCTTTCTCCCTCTCAGGTATCAGAGAAGGAGATGGAGGCACCATGGTGAGGCTCTGGGTTCTGCTCCCATCCTCCTGAGATTGGCTCTCCCCACTAGACTTCTTCTTTACAACATAATCCTACAGATCAGGAGACAAATAAAAAACAATATGACAACCACCTGACATCATCTAAATGTGTGTGAAAAATAAAATGGTCTATTGACCAGAATAGACAGAGAGTGAGTGTCATGTGACCTCCCAGAATCCTCCTCACCTCTCCGGTCAGGTCTGTGTTTTATTAATAGAGATGAGAGTGATGTCATGTGACCTCCCAGAATCCTCCTCACCTCTCCGGTCAGGTCTGTGTTTTATTAATAGAGATAGAGTGATGTCATGTGACCTCCCAGAATCCTCCTCACCTCTCTCCGGTCAGCAGGTAGATGATCTCCAGGGTGAGGTTTAGTATCTTCTCAGTCTCCATGTGACTCCGGTCCGGTCCTCCCATCCTCATTGGTGCCATCATGTGATCTATACAGGTCTCCTTGTAGACGGATAACTTTGGGAAATGAAAGTAAGAATGATTTGGATGGTATTGGTCACACAATAATAGGATGTGGATGTGAGGGGGGAATAGGAGGGTTGCTGGACATTGAAGAACTACTCCCCCCATGGGAAGACATTTTGTTTGGACTGTTTAGTGTTTACTACAATTTTGGGGTCCGGGGCCCTTTTCTCTGTTGGGTTTGTTTGGTCTCTGAACTGGTTTTGATGAGTATTAGATCTGCAGACAAGGAATGATAAATCTGATCCTTCCTATGACTAGTTTGCTCTGAGGCAGTGCTGTGAGGTCAATGTCGGCTCATCATGCAGGGATGGTCACTTTACATCACCCGACGCCCGGGATATGTAGTTCTGGGGGCCGGGCAAGTATTGTGTTTATCTTTATCCCTGCTGAGGGCAAGCCGCAGGCTCTCCTTTCAGGTGCCAGCCTCTGCCACCCCGTGTGTGTGAACCTCTCCTGTACCTACTATGCTTCCCCGGCTCTGCTTGCCCATCTGTGGGCCCGGGTCAGCGGGTGTCGGAGGGTAGAGGGGATGGAGGAGAGCGGACATGTTCACTCCCTTCTTGTCCTGACCCAGAAGTGACGTTATGACAGATTTCCCGACCATCGAGGCCGGCAAAGAATGTAATGCGGTGCGATGTGCACTACATTACATCCAATGGAGTACAGGGGAGACATTGGGGGTCTTTTAGACCCTGGATGTCTCAATAAAGAGAACCTGTCATCAAAAGTCATCTCATAGAGGACTTTGTCCCTTTAAGTAAAAATGCTTTTTTTTAATTGTAAAAACAATTAAAGTTACACCCAAGTACATAACTCCTCCCCTTAAAAAATTTTTAGGCTCCCCACCCCCACATATATGCGCACCCAAATGTAAGAGCACACGCTGGAGCGCCTACACGTGATAACATTGATTGTGATACACGTTACATATCGCCGGTCACACCAGAATGAGAGGATAATTCTAGGAGCAGACCTCCTCCGTACTCTATACTGATGACCTAGAAGGGGCTATAAATGTGTCCCCTATAGATAATACCGGGGACTAAAGGTTGTCACCATTTCAGCACACACAACTTAAGGTTTGACATGTTGGATATCTATTTACTCGCTGCAACCTCGGCTTTTATATTTTACACATAAATGGGTCATTTATTGCTTTTTTGTGCCCTGAAATCAGCTTAAGTGTATTTTTTAATGAAATTTGGCATTTCCTAGACTTTGTGATAATATTTTGTGACATAAAAAATTAGAACTGCCACTATTTTATTCTCTAAAGTCTCTACTTTCAGAAAATCGATATTTTGGGGGTTTTATGTCATCTTCAGGCCTAAAATGATTTTTTAAACGTGTGCAAAAAATGCAAAAACGGCTCTGGGAGTGAAAGGGAGAAGGATAAGCCAGACACTCCCCTTTCCTGAGGAGCAGCCAATCGGTTCTCATTACACTGCAAGGTCTCTCCCCTCCCTGCTAGTCCCCGGGTGCGGTGCTGGAGACAGGCGGGGGAGGGGAGGAGGAGATAAACAGCGCAATGTTACACATATTACACATTTAAGTTGCTATAAAACCCCTTTTTAATTTTTTAAAGCCACAAACATTCCTAAAAGAGCCTCAGATTTATATACATTTGTTGTAAATAGGAAATTACATCTTATTACCTCCTCTGCTGCCACTTTTCCACCAACGTCTCCTCTATACTTCTTCCTGCCTCACCTCTCATCTGGAACTTCCTGTCTGTGCCTGACATCACTTCCTGTCTGTACCTGACATCACTTCCTGTCTGTATTCCATAGAGACTTCCTGTGTGAGTATAGGTGAGATCCCCACCTTGTGGAGTTCAGAGGAACTGCAGCCCCGAGATCCATCCCATAATCCCCCTTCCTGTATAATATGTACCTTACAGGGATACTACGGGAGATGAAACATTACTGAATAAAGGAAGAAGAAATAAATGTAACTCTTATGTAACCAACTGTTCAACAAACATCTCTTATTACATATAGAAAAGTCTTACAAACACAGAACACAAAATACAAATGTATAGCTAATGAGAGCGATCCCGCCAAACCTGATCCTTCTGGGGGGGACAATGCAAAAATATATATCAATCCACTCATAATGACATCATCTTCTGGGAGTGTCTGCACATCCATCCATTTCATACACATTTCATTGTCTCAGCGGATCTCCTGCAGCCTATTAGCACCCATTTCCCTCTCTATGTCTCAGCAGATCTCCTGCAGCCTATTAGCTCCCATTTCCCTTTCTATGTCTCAGCAGATCTCCTGCAGCCTATTAGCACCCCCATTTCCCTCTATGTCTCTATGTCTCAGCTATTAGATCTCCTCCTGCAGCCTATTAGCTCCCATTTCCCTCTCTATGTCTCGGCAGATCTCCTGCAGCCTATTAGCACCCATTTCCCTTTCTATGTCTCAGCAGATCTCCTGCAGCCTATTAGCACCCATTTCCCTCTCTATGTCTCGGCAGATCTCCTGCAGCCTATTAGCTCCCATTTCCCTTCTATGTCTCAGCGGATCTCCTGCAGCCTATTAGCACCCATTTCCATCTCTATGTCTCAGCAGATCTCCTGCAGCCTATTAGCTCCCATTTCCCTCTCTATGTCTCAGCAGATCTCCTGCAGCCTATTAGCTCCCATTTCCCTCTCTATGTCTCAGCAGATCTCCTGCAGCCTATTAGCACCCATTTCCATCTCTATGTCACATATTACAACAAGCAGTCACAAAGGTAAATGTAAAATAAAAGCAGAGAGGGAGAGAAGGCTGATAAAGCAGCTCATCGATGAGAGGTACATAAGAACATACAATGTCAATACAAAACAGTGACATGGCCATCAATCACAAACGATCGGAGCAGACAGATCGGTGTCATAGGTGTCCCGTGGGTCCTGAACTGCCTCCAGCGCAGGGACAGTAGCAGGGTGTAAAGCAGGTAGGTACTCCAACTTTCTCATTTCTGCTCTGACCTTCATCAGTGCCGGTAACATGGGGGACATAGAAGACAGCCAATGCATGGGAATGGTTCTCCTGGCTGCCCTCATGTAGGTGGAAAGTTTCCTCGCACATTTAGAGAGACCTGAAAAAAGGTAGACCCAACAGAAAGTAAATGGGCTCAAAAGGGACAGGAGCCCGCAGAAGTAACCACAATGGGGTAAGGACCTCCTCCAAAAGGGCGCAATGGACCGGCAATCCCAAAAAATGTGGAAAAGAGTGTCAGTTTCCGTCCCACAACACCAGCAAACAGAAGAAACATTCAGGTTATGATCATGGAGAACCTCAGGGGTCCGATACCAAAACATCAGGGTCTTAGACTGCATGTGTCCTAATATGAGAGGAGAGGTAGTGCGGGCTGTGACAAAATAAGTCCCCCTCATTCCCTCTTTACACCAAGTCATGGCCAGACATGCACGCCTCTGTTAGCTAGTGGCTGTGGGTGTGTGCATGTGGCTGGGATCTGTGACAACCTCTGATGACTCCTCTGTCATCCAATAAAGCTGATGGACCTCAGATGTCTTCCTTGTCCTACGATGAAGCTGATGGACCTCTGATGTCTCCCCTGTCTTCTGATGAAGTTGATGGACCTCTGATGTCTCCCCTATCCTCTGATGAAGTTGATGGACCTCTGATGACTCCCCTGTCCTCCAGTAAAGCTGATGGAACTCTGATGTCTCCCTTGTCCTACGATGAAGCTGATGGACCTCTGATGGCCTCCCCTGTTCTCTGATGAAGCTGATAGACCTCTGATTTCTCCTCTGTCCTCTGATAAAGCTAATGGAACTCTGATGTCTCCCTTGTGCTACGATGAAGCTGATGGACCTCTGATGTCTCCCCTGTCCTCTGATGAAGCTGATGGACCTCTGATGTCTCCCCATTCCTCTGATGAAGCTGATAGACCTCTGATTTCTCCTCTACTCTGATGAAGCTGATGGAACTCTGATGTCTCCCCTGTCTCCAATGAGGCTGATGGACCTCTGATGTCTCCCCTGTCCTCTGATGAAGCTGATAGACCTTTGATTTCTCCTCTGTCCTCTGATGAAAGCTAATGGACCTCTGATGTCTCCCATCTCCAATGAGGCTAATGGACCTCTGATGTGTGCCTATCCTCTGATGAAGCTGATGGACCTCTGATGACTCCCTTGTTCTACAATGAAGCTGATGGACATTTTGATGTCTCCCCATTCTCAGATAAAGCTGATGGACTTCTGATGTCTCTCCTGTCATCTGATGAAGCTGATGGACCTCTGACATCTCCCCATCCTCTGATATCCACCAGTCAATGTTCACTGAAGGAAGGGGTATCCAGGAGCGAACATTCACTAAAGGAAGGGGAGATCCATGAATGAATGCTCACTCCAGGAGGGAGAAATCCAGGAGTGAATGTTCACCATGGGAAGTGGAAATCCCACCCCTCTAACTGGCATCACCCCCTGTGTCAATCCTAGGTGTGCTAATGGGCCCATGGCAGGGGTGTGTGGGGGGACCTACCTTTACCAGGGTGTGTGGGGAAAAACCCCCCATTGCTGGGCTATGTAGGGGGATCTACTATTACTTATATGTATTGAGGAATCCACCATAACCTGGGTGTGTGCGGGAGGGCTCACCATTACCAGGGTGTGTGTGCGCGGGGGGGCACCATTGCTGGGGTGTGTGGGGGGAACCCACCATTACAATGGAGTTCGGGGGAGCCAACCATTACTGGGGTATATGGGGGACCCACCATTTGTCAATAAGATAACACCGTGTTATCATTAGTTCATTTTTAAGTGGAGTTCCCCTTCATCTTCATACTTCTCCTAATGTTGGATGAGGGTCTGGTATGGATATTAAAGGGGAACCCCACACTTGTTTAGTTTTGAAGCAGAGTTTTTCCTTTATATTGTTAGCCCTCACAGTTGAGCTGAACTTTTACTGCCCCCTATATCTGCAGAGGCAGTGGGCAGTGTCTACACATATCCCAGTAGTGATGGTTGTCTTCGCAGTCACAGCAGGAATTTTCCCAAGATGTCACTTTTGATGGGTGTAGCTCCTGCTGAATGTGACCCATTGAAGTGAATGAGGCTGTTCTTTGACCCCAACAAGTGCACTCAATGCATGTGACTCACAAACTGCACCAAAAACACAAGGCAGGTGCATTTTTGATGTGGTTTGCCATGTTTTCCATTGATTTCAATGGGGAGGTGCATTTTTTGTGTGGCTTTTTTTTTACCACGCCAAACCTGCACTAAAAATGTGACAAGCAGGGCTTTGAAAAATGCAGCGGCCCCGCATCGGCTGAGTGTAAAAAGGAATCTGGGAGGGAAATGTAATTTGTTGGCAATTTAAAACTCTTCTCTAGATCTGTAAATGTCAGCGACGTGCGATGATTGACACCCCCTTACCCAGATAATGGGGACTTGTAATCTGACAGATTCACACAGGAATTGTTCATTGCTGAAGGAACCCCGAGAAACCTTTGGAGGAACCCGACTGAGGAAGGCTGGACTAGGCAGTCATATATTTCTGTCCCCCTTGGTGGGAGTGGAGGTGACCCCTCTATAAGTGTAGCGATCCCCCAAAGGGGGTAAGTTTGTTCACTCCACCACTCTGCCTCCCAACCCCAAGAACTGTCTCAGCCCCAACTGACACCCCTGACAATAGTGAAGTACAAGGACCAATGAAAAGCACACACGGTATAATAAACACAGAGATCAGCTTTACTGTAAGACCTCTATGGGAAGTAATAAACATGAACAACAGGTATACGTTCGGTGAATCCAGAGAACAGCAAATCCTGAGACCGGAAGCAATATAACTCACTTTTACACTCAGGCTGCTTTCAGGGGATTCCAACCGTGAATAACCCCAAGAGCAGAGGAAACACTTACATGGCGCCCTCAAAGTGGGTCTAAACCCCTTTACATAAACTCAGCTCTATGATGCAACCTGATCACCTTCTCTGTCTCCTCGTCCTCCAACGCCTACCCCTCCAAATGTCACACTACTACCAGCCGTAACCTCAGCAACCTTAACCCTGCCCCCCTCCACTGCGCAGCTGATCAACTCCACGACAGCATCCTCCCCCTGTCCTGCCCCAACTTGGCTATGACTGCCTACAACAACGCGCTGTCAGCAGCCCTTGATTCACTAGCGCCTTTAACCACACGCAACATCAGACCCCGACCGCTCCAGCCCTGGCAGACTGATCACACCAAAACCCTCAAACGACGCAGTCGTGCCCTGGAGCGACTATGGTGCAAAACCAAATCCCAACAAGCCTTCACCTGCTACAAATCTGCCTTCCACACCTACACCTCCTCCCTCCACGCAGCCAAACAAGCCTACCTCCTGACCCTCATCAAGGCCCTCTCCTCCAATCCTTGCTGACTCTTCTCCACCTTCAACTCTCTACTCTCTCCACCCCCACCTCCACCCAGCACCTCACTCACTGCCCTTGAGATTGCCAATCACTTCAAAAACAAGATTGACACAATTCGCAAGGACATCGCCGCAACTCACACGCCCTCTCAACCCGTCCCCTCTCACACAGATATCCCCTCATCCCCCCTCCCCCTCGACATTACCCGCAGGGACTTCGTCACTGCTCAAACTCCCTCCAACCCCGTTCCCCCTCACTCAGCTACCCCCTCATCACCCCCTCTCCCACGGCCCCACCACTGCTCTGACCTCCACTCCCACCCCACCCTACATTCCTCATACTGAAGCTCCCCCAACACTCTGCACCTTTGACCTT